CCTGATAAAGAGTACCTCCAGTAGGGTTGTCATCAAAAGATCAGGAACAGAGAGGGAAAGTGTTATTAACAAGGCTGCTACTACTCTATTTATATGTCCTCCATTGTTTGTGAGTTCTTGTTAGGAGCTAGAAATGAATTTTTATCTACTACTAATTTCATCAAGTTCTTTTTTAGTTTTTTTTAAGTCTGGGGGAATTAAAAAAAAAAAAAACTTTTATCAATTCCACTGCCAACCTTTTCCCTCCAAATAAAATTCTTTCTATTCCATCAAATTTGCAATTTCTAAAATATTATATCTTGCAATAAAAACTAATAAAGAATTAGTTCATTCATTCTTGCAGCATTCAGTAGAGATGTGTTCTGAGAGCAAACTCCAGAGGAGACCTCTCCTCATTGAGAATATATATTAAGGGTAAAGAAAGGTGATCAAGCGATAAACCAATGAAAAGATAACCACAGGCTGTAACCAGGGTTGTGAGAAACATGGAGTATGTTGTACAAGATTAGGGTAGTTGAAAATGATAGAACATCCGGTCACTTATTCATTTTAGGCCAGGGCTAATCTATCACATTGGAACCATTTCTTTCACATTGACAATCTCTTCGGATTACTCAATGCCCTGTTCTGTCTGGTTAAATCAATTTCTTATGCTGGACCACTGCTAGGTATGTTGAATATTGATTTTGATTTTAAAAAGTGTATTTCTGTCTTTCATATGAGAGAGGGTCAGATCTAGTCTCTTCAGAATAGATAAGGAAGCTAATAAATTGGCTATGGTTGCATCTTTATTGTTCACTGTTTTCAAGAGATGGCCTTCACCTTGTGGTCCTAGATGACAACTTGGGCTTCAATCATCACATCTGCACAAAAGACAAAGACAGGAAGAGGGTCATGCCTTAGCCTCCTAAAGATGCCTTTACTTTTTGCATAGCAATAATTTATTCTGTGGCTATAAGGGAAGTTGACCTAGGTAGCCTTCATTTCTGGATTACCATACACACACCTGGGAACAAAGCAGAAATTGTGTTGCTAAGGGAAAAGGACACAAAGTTATTGAAAAGCCAGTCATACACATTGCCACCAGGGTAATGTGACTGTGCAACCATGCAAGGAAAGTCAAAGTATTTCTCAGGTGGTTCCATTGAGATGATCTTAAAGAAAGCAAGAAAGGATCTGGGGAGTTGGCTAAGTGGTAAAAGCATTTGCTGCATAATCATGAGCACTTGAGTTTGAATCCTCATCATCTACATTAAAAAGAAAAACAGCCTCGGTTATATGTATCTGTAACCGCAGTGTTGGATGAAGGAGGGCAGAGAGACAGAGGATTGTTGGGACTTGGTGGCTGTTAGCCTAGGTGAAAATCAACACAAACTGTTGGTTTATTGGGGGATCCTGTCTCAAAGGAATATAATTGAGAGAGATAGAGATCACTGAGAGACTTCATCTGGCCTCTGTATGGGAGCATGGGTATGCACATCTACTACATAGATATATACACACGTGTTGTGCATGTATATAAACGCATGAAAGAATGCAAGGGAGCTTCCTCTAAGAACTAGAGAAAGAAAGCCAGAAACAAGATACTTACTGCAAAGTACATGTCCATAGCATGGCTCTAGCTTACTTATAATATTACGCATGCTGCTATTAAGTTCAGTCTGGAATGGCAATCTGTTGTCTTCCTATTTTTTTTTGTTCTCCAACCCTCAAAGCACATTATATTATGGCAATTTTTAGTTATCAAAAAATCAACTATTTTCATGTTATTTTGATCTTGAAGGGAGAAGTTAGAGAGCATATTATGTAGTACCTTGGCATTTTACTTAGGTGTACAGATAACTGTGGAGATTATGGATAGGACGAGGTAGCCAAAGCAAATAAGCATCTCTGAGAATGAGCATGAGAGATATAAATAACATGCCAGGTTCAAACAAAGGCACTTACAAATTAGGGTATTAAATCACAGCCCACATTACAATAACGTGATTTGGTTTGGTGTACACCAGAACAGAGCTGATCGTATGGAACTAATGTGATGTTTTGTGTGAATGTCACATTAGTTATGCATTTGTTACATGATTTTCATGGGTGCCAGAATGCAATTCATTGGAATAAACAGAAGAGTCTAGTGGCATTGAGCCTAATGCTATAAAGGGGAATTTGCCTTCATTAAACCCTCTTGTACAGTAATTAAGGTGACATTATATCCAGCACATTTTCTTAATGAATATCTTACACTGACATCAAACAAAAGAAGGAATCAGTAATACTGTTTATTTCTGCAAATTCCATGTGAACAAAGATCACTGAAGTGCATGGTTTTGTCTAAACATATCATACAATGGCAACACACCCTACTGCCGAAGATGAGGCAGTGTGCTTGGATACCAGAGTAAAAGCATTTCAAAGCTTTTCCCTAGAGTCCCCTGACCACAGAAGGCTGGGGAGTGACACAGATATTATGCCTTATGTGCATCTGGAAGGAGAAACTCTAAGTGCATAGATGCCTCCTCTGAACTAGATTAGCCATTATCTTTCATGTATCTAGCTATGAGCCTAAGACCTAGTCTATGGGAGTCAAGAACTCAGGCCTTTTCAAAAGAATTGGAATGTGAACACCAACTTTAAGGAAAACACTATGTCATTTTTAGCTCTGTAACCCTAAACACCTAAAACAATATCTGTATGTGTTTGTGTATATGTATATGTATATGTATATGTATATGTATATGTATATGTATATGGTGTGTGTGTGTGTGTGTGTGTGTGTGTGTGTGTATGCAGTGATTTAATATAAGCAAATGCAACTCCTATCTGCAACGAGTTCTGTTTACAAAGTTGCTCCTGAAGCGTCTCTCAATGGATTTGCTCAAAAGTCTGATGTACAATAAAATGGACAGACAACACAAATCAGAATTGCTTATAAAGGAATCAATGCCACATAGTGTTCTATTGGGAATGCCCAACTTATTCCCCAAAACACTAAATGTATGTGGTCAATAAGGTTTACAATACACACATATAAAAAATGTTCAATAATAATATTACTTGTTTTCTTTTTTTAAAATCAAGAACAGCAATATGCACCAAGGAAATTAAAACCTAACCTTTTAACTTGGGATTCTCATCTTTTTCCTGGGGGGGGGTTGTGTATGTTTCAGGGGAGACTATAGAGAATAGATAATAGGGGGAAAAGTACATGGCCCTCAGTGTTGACCTCTCTGATCTTTGTCATATCCCATGTATGAGATTGAAGGCTGTCTTTCTCCTCTGCCAGGTCTTTCCTTGATTGGCTGTTTCTTTTGTTCTTTAATTCCAGATATTTCTATAGCCATAGTTGGGCTGTCTAAAGTTTCATCCCACCTGCCTCATACATTCTATCCTCTAAATTCCCACTGTCTCTCCATGAATCTGAGGTCATTCTGGCAGAGCTTGCTTGTGTTGCACTGAACAACTTCACCACAGCCTTGGTTCTGAACATATAACATTAACACTTGGCACTGTGCATGAATTATGAAATACAAGCAAATGTTGCTTAGAACCTCTTGGCTCTGATTTTATTTTTTGTGTTATGAATCTCAGTGGTTTTAATGCAGATATAAAATTATCTGTTCTTATAGAAACAGTACTTTAATTATAGAAAACAAAGACTTAATATTTTTGCTACTGTTGTGTAAGCATCAAATTAGTATATCTTTGGATTGCATTATGTTAGAATGTGTGGCTTGAAAAATTGCTGCTTGAGATGCTGACAAGTTTCATAACAAATGATCAGTGTAATTTGGCTTTGATTAGAAAAATTTCTGAAATGGTTTTTCCTTTTCTAAACATACTGTTTTTATACTAAACATACCAATTTCTAAAGATATCATATTTGTTTGTTCATTTGGTTTTAGAGACAGGGTCTCTATACATAGCTCCAGTTATCTTGGAATTCACTTTGTAGACCAGGCTGGCTTTGAACTCACAGAGATCTACCTGATTCTGCATCCCAAGTGCTGGTACTAAAGGCATACACCACTACACCTGGTTCATACTGTAATTTTGTGAAGCAACATTCTTGGCATTGATGATTGTAATGTCAAAATTTCAACCAACTGAAAAACAAGAACCATACTCTTGGTGCTATTGCAGCATCAAATATCCAACCAAGATGTAAGTCTTTATGTAAAAATGAACAACACTGTCTAGTTGTGGGTCTCTGTATTAATTTCCATCTATTGCAAGAACACACTTCTCTGATGAGGGTTGAAGCACTGATCTTTGTGTTTAGCAGCATGTCATCAGGAGTCATTTTGTTGCTAAGTTCATTTAATAGAATAATAGTAGTAGGTTTTCCCCTAGGCCCATGACCTCTCTAGTCTCAGGTTCTTGTCCTCATTAACAGTGCCATGAATGATTTCTGTCTCATGAAATGGGCCTAACACTAATCAAAAGGTGTTGGGTTACTTGCATAACACTTGTGCCACCTATTTCACCACTGGGTTTATCTTACAGACTGGTCAATGCTGAAGTTTATACAAGGTTTGTATATGAGACTCATTATTACTTTTCTCCTCTAGTATCATATGTAATACTTTCCACCACTACAGATGCTAGTCAGTAGTGCTGAAGCTTCTAGATGGATAGGAGTTTGATTTCTGCATATTTGAAGATCTAAGTATGTGTTTTCTTCAGGTCTTACCGGGATGCCATAGAGGTAACAAATATCATTAGCAATAGCATGTGGTGTTTGAGGGTATCTATATGATCCCCTTTGCCAATGACTCAAAAAAGATGCAACCCAACTTTGCAGACACTGCTGTCCCCTGTCACCACTTACTGCAGCTATGGTCAAGCCTACTTATGTTCCTTTACATCATGGGAGCCATTGGGCCATGTCTTCTTTGAACTGTTTGCAGACAAAGGTTCAAAGACAGCAGAAAACTGGAGAGAATAGATTTGGGTGTAAGGGTTCCTCCTTTCACAGGAATTGTTCCAGGATTATTCCATGAATCATGCACCAGGGTAGTCATATCACAAGTCATAATGGCACTTGTGGCAGGTTCATCTCTGGGGAGAAATTTGAGGATGAAAACTTCATCTTGAGCATTCAGATCCTGGCATCTTGTCCATGGAAAATGCTGGGCCAATCACAAATGGTTCCCAACTTTTTACCTTCACTGCCAAGACTGAGTGGCTGGATGGAAAACGTAGTCTTTGGGAAGGTGAAAGAAGGCATGGACATCATGGAAGCCATGGAGCATTTAGGGTCCAGAAACGGTAAGACCAACAAGAAGATCACCATCTTCCACTTTGGACAACTGTAATTCATTTAACTTGTGGGCATCTTATCCAACAGACCATTCCTTCTGTGGCCCAGGAAAGCACCCCTACCCCATCTGCTCATAATACCCTTAATCTCTACTCTCACTGAAGTTCTTTGGGTTCTGTGTTTTCCTCATTCCCTTCCAAGTCTAGCTGGATTGCAGAGTTAAGTTGATGATTATGAATAAAAACCTAATAAGAAAAAAGCATGCACCCTATACCTGTACTGGGCTCTTATTTTATAACATATTTAGTTGAAATATTATCTCCCCCATTATATGCTAACTCCATTTAAATCCCTTCATATATTTTTGGAAACCTCTACAGTAGGGGTCTCCATAAGGCTTTTACAAAAAGCCTTTAGTGATCATATTCCGTCTTTAACTCTCCCTCCTATTCTCCTCCCCATTTAATCCTCCAATTTTAGTTTCACATGTATAACCCTGTGTTCTATTTCTCCTTGTGCGTGTCCAGTAGGAGAATATGTATATTCGGGTGCACATGTACACGCATGCACACCCATGTAGAAGCAATAAGTCAACTTTGGGTTTGTTCCTCAGGAGTTATTAATCTTGGTTTTTTTCTTTAAGACAGTCTCTCTTTGGCCTATAGTTTGCTGATTCGTCTAGGACTGTCCTAGGAGGACCAGGCATCACCAGTCTTTGCCCTTCCCTCACTGAGCTCACAGATGTGTGCTATCATGCCCAAAGTTTTTAAATAAATATTCTGTGGACTCCTGCACTTACATGGCAAGCATTTTATGATAGAGTTATCCATCTGCCCATAAGTAACATTTTATGGAGAATGAAGCTGAGAGTCAGAAAGATTATTTTCTCTGGGTTCTGGAGTGAGTGAAACACCTTGTACCCCAAACTCTATGTCTCTTCTGGGTATGGTAACTCAAATAGTAAAGGCAAAAAAAAAAAACAAACAAACAAACAAAAAAAAACATTACAATCTGAGGCTCTTGTCATGGGAGTTTCTTGTTTCTTCCCTGTGGGAAAACGCATAGACTTCAAATAGAGTTACAAATTTTTTAAGCATTTATACTAACCAGTTTGAGGATTTTATAGACTAATAATCTGCTAATATCCGCATAAGCAACAAGGCCTTAGTCTGCAAATAAAACAATGAATATTTTCTCAATTAGAAAAATAAGTATGTTATCACAAAGTAAAACACAGTCTGTTAAATTCAGTGTGATTAATATTATGGGAAGTTCAGGAAAGTTCTCTTATATTTCTCATTTTACGATAAATATGTCAATGCCATGATTTAGACTATCATTATCCAACAGAATGGTATTTGAGAATCACTCTTTTAGTTGACTCCACCAAATGCTTTCTAGTCAGATTTGGCAGATGTGTGTGTATTAATGTGCATGTGAGCATTCACATATGGACGAGCACACGTATGTATTCAGAACAGAACAAGGCTTCAGTACTGATGGCAATTTACACCTGAATTGATGGTTTATCTGATACCATTACTGACTACAAGTAACTAAAATAGCTTAATCTAATGTTCCCAGCTACATGCCATGATCTTAACATCACATAACTGGGACAGAACTATTGATGGAATCTTAGTTCTTTCATGACAGCAGCAGCAGCAGCAGCAGCAACAAAAACAAGTATGATACAAGTCAAGTTTAGGAAATAGGCCTTCATTATGAGATCGCAATGGTATTTCATCTTCAGATCAACTTTCCTCTTTACAAATGAATGAATGAACTGTCTTCCTGAATTTGTACCGAAAGACACATGAATGAAATAAATAGTATTTTTCCTTGCCACCGACATGATAGAAATTTTCTTTCCTTTCTGCTTCTTTACCAGTGAAATTTGCTCTCTTTGTTTTCACACCTATAATCTGGAAACAAACATCCCTAGCAGTTCCCACCCAAAGTCTGGTGTCCATTCCTCCCACTGCATCCTCTGCTACTGAAACTCTAGTGGGTTTTTGTTTGTTTGTTTGTTTTTCAGTACTGGGGACTGAATCTCAAGCTTCACACATGACACACACACACACACACACACACACACACACACACACACATATCCACTGATGTATATCCCAGGCATTTTTAAAACATTTTCTTCTGAAACAGGTTCTAGGTAAACTGTCCAGGCTGGCCTTAATATCATTCTATATTTTTGTCTTGCCGTCTACTTGACATTCTCCTGCTATAGCCCCTGAGAAGTAGAGACAACAGCCTTGTACCACCAGACATGGCTCCAACCAACCATTTTCTTCCTTCTCTTTCTTTTTGTGTGCATATGTATGTGTGAGTGTGGTATATGCATATAGCATGTGTGCTGTCCTGTCCACACAGAGATCAGAGGTTGACGTCAGTTGACTTCCTCAATCGATATTATTTTCTGAGACAGAATCTCTCACTGAACCCAGAGATGGACATGTTGGGCTAAATTTATCTTTTAAGTCTCTTTCTGTCTCCCCTCCACTGGGATTATAGAAGCATATGACAGCCCTAGCTTTCATGTGAGTGCTACAGATTTGAACCCAGGTCCTCATCCTTACATAGCAAATACTTTACCCACTGAATTATCTACTCAGTCCCAAATACTTGTTTTCAATGCCGTTTCCTCCCTGAATTCATTCTGTATGGTCTGTGCCCAGACTGAAGTCTATGGACATTCTTCTCTCCACCTTAAAAGGTCTGCCTTTTGGCCTAGAACAACTTCTGTCTTGTTTCTCTACATTTTCCTAGTCCATTTTTGAAATTAAGATCCAACTTCTAGCCAGGCATTTGTGGCACATGCCTTTAATCCCAGCACTCGGGAGGCAGAAGCAGGCAGATCTCTATGGGTTTGAGGTCAGCCTGGTCTCCAGAATGAGTGCCAGGATAGGCTCCAAAGCTAAACAGAAAAACCCTGTCTTGAAAAACCAAAAAAAAAAAAAATCCAACTCATAAGACATCAAAGTCATGATCTGAAATGTACACTTCAGCAGATGCTATACATCCACAATATCTTATACTCATAGCATGCTAATTCCAAAACATTCTTATCATACAGCCTCAGTTGCTCCCAGCTTTTCTTCCTACTTGCTTGTCTCAACTCATATCTTGGATACTCTGAAATGCCATCCACTGTATTCTAACCACCGTTCTTGGTCTACAAATATGAACCTTCAGCAATCTGTCCTATGCATATGTTTTGGATAACCCGGCAATATGTGTATGTGCCCCCCCCCTGTTTGGCCCCCAAAAGCATCACCACCTTTAACCCTCTTCGGGAAGAGCCCTTTTTCTATGACTACATTCTGAAAATACAGACCAAGCAATCCAGAGTTCATACCTCCCTGGTCCTGTGACTTTCCACTGCCCCAGGTTTCTCAAGGTTAGACACTAGACATGAGGGCTGAGCCCTGGATGTGGACCCCAAAGAGACTCCACCAACTAGCCAGCTCTAAGCATGACTAGTTTGCTCCCTCTATTTGTCCTGTGAATTTATAGTAGTAAGGGGTCTTTAGCTCCCATTCTACTTCAAGAGTGACCCTGATGGTTCCCCACATGGTTTCTATAGAAGTGAGTGTACTTTCTTGATATGATAACAAACTATGCTTTCAATAACAATTCCCCACTCATGCCTTACAATGTTTCAAGTTTTCTAATGGCCTATACTTAAAAACATTGTGGACTTAAACTACAGATGAGGGGTAGACCAGTAACTAAGCAAATTCAAGGTCTTGGGTTCAATTTCTGGAACTACATACACACACATACACACATGCACATGTACAAACACATGCATACACATGCAAAGCCTATAATCCCAGTACTGAAAAGGGAGTCATGAGTTCAAGTTCAAGATGGCTTACACAGGATGAGTCTGAGCAAATGAACAAATAATGACGTAATTCAACTAACACAAAATCAGGAAGTATTACCATGAAATACCAGGCAGTTGGGGCTCTGCAGGGACATTCCTGTGTGACCTTAGGGATGTCAATTAAATTCTCAGCTCCAATTTTTTAACTGAACATTTCTATAACACATACCTCATATCTATACAGTCTTACTCTACTGTTGGTGAGAATGGAGTGACACCAACTCACTTCCTGTTATCAAGCTCTGTCCTATAACATCATATAACAGGAAGTACAGTTGTTTTCTTTACTCTTTGGAGGGTGCTGGAGATTGAACACAAGGCCTCAGACATGATAGACAATTTTTCTACCACAGCCCTCTTGCAACTTTTTGTTTTGAGATGGGGAATCACCAAACTGCCCAGTCTGACCTGAACTTGTTATCTTCTTGATTATTGGGGTTCACCAATTCTGGCTTAGTGTTTTAATATAAAATATTTATACTATTATTTACTTCTGCTTTTATAAAACTATATACACTACATTGCAAATCACTGGAATGGCAAATTTTGAGATTCAATTAAGAATACAGCAGTCATCCAATTCATATTACTTAAAACACTACACATAGCATTTATCATTGACTGAGATATTGACTAGGAACTTACTATGGGTGAGGTTCTCGGTTAAATCAGGGACAGGAAGAAGAAAGGAAAATGAGTGGGAAGCATTGAAATGTCATGGATTCATGGGTGAATACTGGGAAGTAAGTGGACCCCTGTATTTATAAGCTTCTTGTGGGAACATGTTACTTAGGAGGGGTGAAATATTAAAGTGTGGTACTCATTAGAGCTGTGGTAGAGAGAAAAGCCACCTACCTGTGATTCTGACACTAGACTAAATGACATATCTTAGTAGCAACGCATTCCATAGACAAGTTTATGTCCAAATAGGCAGAATCTACCAACGGGTGCTGTTTACACCAAAGAAACAGAAGCTACAAAATGAGTTTCATTTTCAAAAACAGTCCTAGTCTATAAACTATGGCTATCATACTGTCAGTCTCTCTCTGTGTCTAGGTCTCTCTCCCTGTCCCTTCTCCTTCTCTTTCCCAGACCTTCTGTTTGCTAAGCAAGAACTCTACCACTAAGCCACACCAAGCTCAAGAACT